CTGGAAATCTGCATTCAGTTGGGTAAATCTTTTCTTTTCACCTTTGCCTTTCGTTTTCCTTCTTTCCTCAGCTATTTGTTTTTTTTTGTATTTACATTTTTTATTGAGCATATCAGTCAAAACACAGAGATAAACTCATTATTCATCTTATCAATATCCTCATTTCCCATTTTTAACAATTGTGAAACAAAAGAAAAAAACAATCCATCTGAGGTTACTATTGCAACAACCAAAATTTTTCTCTTTTAGTTCCTCTTCTTTTCCTATGCCCCTATCTTACCCGTTTATAAATCCCATCCAACTTCCCCATAACTTATACATACATATAATACCACTCAAAAACTACAGTTCGTTCTAACTCGCATAGTACTATTACCCTGCTTCTGTACCTAAAATGAAAAGTTGAAAGGGTTGCCTCCGATTGTGGGAGCTATAGAGAGGCACTCTACAGCGAGAGGGGAATCCCCCTCTCTCCCTATATACGGAGGTCTTTGGGGGGCACACTCTTCGCCTCCTTGCTACACCCAGTTATGACGATAAACCCTAAACTTCAAAATAAACAGTTCCATATTCCTATCCTGCTTAAACATGTTTAGAGATACAGCCTACTCTTATGCTAATACATCTTGCTTCCAGTTGTTTCCTTTTATTTACACTATAACCTAAATATCAATACCATAATATATTCTACCCTTCACTATTCCCCCTCTTTCAATTTCATAACAGCCTCTACAAGTTTTTTCCCGGTTGTCTCATTATGTGCTGTGAATATTGTATTTTTTATATTAACAGCCAAATGTCCAAGTGCTAACCATCTGTATGGTATTTCCTTTTCTCTTAATGTTTTTGCTGTTTCTCGCAAACTTTGTCTTGCAATCAGCACCTCTGGGATGACGTCAGCATACAGAAACACGCATGTATCTTCAAGAAGCAAACCCTGTTTTTCACGAGCTATTTTAAAAAGTTTATTTCTTATATTAAGCTCTTTGAATTCGATGATAATGTCCTGCGAAACTCCTGGGGGGGCTTCTCTGGGAGACCATTGGCAGAGAATACGGCCTTGGAGTAGCCCTAAGAAGATACCGGCCTTAATGGCCCAGGAGGAGGCCACAGCAAGGCCAGAGAGGGCAGCCCCAGCATAGGGAAGGGCCAGCGAGGGGAGCAGGGGAACACAGAGAAGTGGGGGTACTAAAAGAGGGAGAGAAGACTTTCGAGTGGAGACTCAGGATAAAATGGGATAGGACGAGATCCGCCTCCCCTGGCAATTCTTGCAGGTCTCTGTATAAAGAGAGAGGGGGGAACTATGATAGGATAGAGCGGGGGAGAAAAAGAGAGGAATGAAGCAAGATGAATAGAGAAGGGACAGGGGAGAGAGGGGAAGACTGACAGAGGAGTGGGAAGCACAGGCTGGGGGGGGGATGCCCCGTCCCAACAAGTTCCTAGAGGGTCCCTGCTTGAAGTTCCTAGAGGGTCCCTCATTGAAGTCAGTAGGCTATGGGTGTAACTTTGTTTAGGACTGCACTGTTAGTATCTTAAATATTAAGTCATATTTTATAAATGTATACACACATTATTGGACTCCAGAGTGTCTTTTAAAATTCGAGCATACCTGAAAGCCTTCTGCTGCAGCACCCAGCATCACTGTTGTCTTGTGTCTGTTGTAGGCATGTTGAAGTAAGAAATATATTTACCATCTCTATATAATTCTCTTAGCGTATTGACCGTTTCCAGCTCTCCCATTGGCTGTGTAATGCACTCCATCAGTCATTGGCCCATCAGCCGCCACTCAAGAGTATTCATCAGCCATTGGCTGGGGGCTGGGTCTGCTCCTCTTCCCTGCCCACTCCCACTTCAGCCACTGTTCCCTGTCAGAATAACTGGCAAACACTTCTGCTTGGCTCCTCTGTGGGACTAACTTTTCCCTCAGTTGCTGTTGGTAGGCAACCAAGCTTGGTTCTATCAGTAAAAAGACAAAGGAAGGAAACTCTTTCCAGGACTTTGTGAGGAACTCATTGGGGCCAGTCCTGACTATGGTTGCCAACTCCAGGTTGGGAAGTTCCTGGGTATTCTGTGTCTAAGGAAGCCAGAGTTTGGGGAGGGGAGAGGCCTCAGCTGAACAGAATGCAATAGATGGGATACACAAGTAGCTCCCCCAATGGGACAGACAGAAACCCAGGGCCAGTACTAAGATAAATGGTGCAGGGGGGTGGTGGCTGAACCTCCTGTCTACATGCTGCAGTTCTGATCCAAATCAGGTCCTACATTAGGGAACTGCCAGCTGATGTACTTACTGACAGTCAAGCTGGAGGTCCCAAACACAAGCTATGGAAACCCTAATACAGAGTGTGGCCTTCTGCCAGAAAAACCCACAGACCCTCACTCCAGCTGGAAGTTATAAGGCGCCAATGGGTGCTTGGATAGATCCATTTCCTAACTACCAGTTTGGATCTGCAGGAATTTCCACAGATGCTGCCATCTCTCCCTTCTTACCGCAGCTCAAAAAGCCCCTCAAGTGCCATGCTTGGGGGAATGGAGACTTCAGGAGCAGCGGCGGGGTGTGTGTGTGTGTGTCAGAAGTCTGCAGCAGGAAAGGGGATTAAAAAAAATATCCCCCCTTCCATTCGCAGAAGTCCTCTGCGGAAACCAACCCAAAAAGACCCACAGAGGAAATATCCATGGCCACTAAGCAATACTACTGTTATTTTGCCACAGTCTCTGGCTCTCTGATGCACACCATTTTAGGCCAAGCCCATAGGGTACAGACCTATTCACAGTGATCAAACATCAAATTCCTAAATGTGTTAAAAAAATACTGCCATGTTTCATACCTCCTGAAGCTCAGGGTGATGGTCACTTGTATTGCTAACCAAATGAAAAATAAAATAAAATCTGCCATGTTTCATACCTCCTGAAGCTCAGAGTGATGGTCACTTGTATTGCTAACCAAAAGTAATGCCATACTTAAAAATGCAACCTCCAGCATTTACTTTTTTAAAACTTAAAAGGTGTTTGTGGCATGTGTACAGTATGCTTGCCTTACTCCATGCAATCTGAAGGAAGCCGGGTTTTATTTCCCTTGGAACTGCAGCTCTCCAAGAGACAGTTCATGAAATGCTGTCCTGATGACACAGAAATAGATACTGAGGGGCACAAAGCTCCTCGGGAGCTGCTTTAGAAAACGAGCAGCCAGTCGAGGGCTACTTGTCCCTCTAATCACGATCCTTCAACAATCCTCACTCCTCTGCTTGAATCCTAGCAACCTGCTGGAGAGGCACAACAGTCTTACAGAGGGAGTCCAGCATACAGGAAGGAGGCAACCAGGAGCATGCAGTCAATGCACCACTGTGGCTTCTCACCCAGGTAGTATGATCCTGTAGGTCAACCAAGCTATAGCTCGTTCGATCCCTCCTTCCCACATTGCTATTTTGACTCTGCTGGCTAAAAAAAACCCTTCACATATTTGACAGGGCATGAAGAAAAATCCAGTTCTCTAGGATGGGTCACTTCGTCAGTGGTCTCCTTGGCCCTTCTCCTCCTGTGCAGGACAAGCAAGATGCAGAACAGTCTGAAGTAAGCCAATGCTCATTTCTGCCACAGAAATCAAAGCCCCTTGCCTTTTGTCCCTTTCCTGGGGGGAGAGGTCCGTTGCAGGAAAGATAAATAGATAAACACTGGCTTTTGATGCAAGACTGTTCTTCGTCAGGTTGCTGGCCTCACTAAAATGTACTGTACTTCTAGACCGCATGTATGTGCCCAGATATATGGTACACAAGCTCAAACCAATTTTTTTCTCTGAGAGGATTTCATGAACTAAGTATTTTCATCCAACGGAATAAATCAGTAGAAGTCAGCTAGTCAAACTGTCAACATGGACTTCCTCAATTGGTTGGTTTAATGTGTTAAAAACATGATTAAAAACATAATTGCACACTTATGCCTTTTCCACCCACAACATTAACAATGCAATCAGTGACATAACCAGGAGAAGTTATTTTTAGTGAATATATTTAGCTGCCTTTACAATCCAGATCTTTCTGCATAATTCATTCAGTAATTGTATAAAAGTGTTCTTCAGCAGTAGTACAACCACCTGTGCAACTTTGACAAGGTTCAGGTTTTTGGCAACTGCACATAATTAACTGAAATTTCTTTTTAAAATATTACATTAAAAAATAAAACAGCTTCCCCCCTCACTGATTTAGTTCCCCCCACACCCACACAAATTCCATCAAAACATCCATGGGTGTTCAGTAATTCAACTCCAAACCTTGACAGCAAAAGTTCATTTGAGAGAACAGATGAGGAGCTAAGCATAACTGAACAACAAAATACTTTTGTAGAGCACTCAGGAATGTTTCCTGCACAAACCCCTTAAGTGTCTATAACTTCAATTCAGTTTGATGAAGCCTGTGTGTACAAGTTACTTATGGATTGCCTTCTCTAAGGACAGGCCTCTCTTCCACTCAACCAAAATAATTATATTTCACAACTTGATCCATCATATTTCTTTAAAGGAAAAGTAATATGATCATTAGAACACTGTAATGCCACAGAGAACTAGCAGGTTTGAAGGAGGGACTAGTATTGGCAGGCATAGATGGAGCTGTTCATGGGGCAAACTAGATAACTCCACCTAAAAAAAAAAAGATGGCATCTCGTTAAATTTCCATTCAACCCCAATAAAATATTAGAATTAAAAGAAGGAAACAAAACAACAAATATGCAACTTCTTAGATTAGAACTGTTAACGTTCTGTAAATATAGACTCAATTCAGGAATACTGGAACAATGACAGACATTACTGATGCACTGCTGGACCTTTCTTTCCAAAGGACTAAATCCTTAATGTCCATCCAATACATTGGTAAAGGAGTGGATCTGACAGAATCATAGCATACTTGATAAAGTTGTGTGCAAATTTCAAAGACCAGGAAGATTTCAGCATGTCTAACTTCCTTTCTTTAAAACAATGGACTATGCCTTCCTAGGAGCACCAATGTGAAGCCACGTAAGAATAGTGGGAAACTTTGGTTGACCTTGAATGAGAACTAACCACTTTAAATATGCCTGACAGGAGTCTCTGTTGAGTGAGCATCATTGGGGGGGAGGGGGGGGAATCAAGAGAAAATTTCAGAGTAACCATATCAGAACCAAATGGTCAGAGAAATATTTGCTGGCAATATTTTTAGCATCAACAGTTGTTTTCATGAATCATCGATTTCAGTACCGAGGTTTGCTGACTTCCAAACAATTTTTAACCAAGTTTTGTTTTTCCAAAAAGGCTATTATGTGAGTGGGAAAACCTATGAGATCCAGATTTCCTTTCATAAATCCAATCCTCTATACATTCAGAGGTAAGATGTCTCATTAATTCCATAGCCTACAAGTTTGGCTACTGAAGATCACAACAAGCAACATCTCTCTTTAAAACTCTTCTTGCTCTTGCTGCTTTTCTTGCCATTCTTGTCTTTGTTTTCTGACATCTTCTTGGCTCTAATCTCTCTCATTAGATCAAAGAATACCTAGAAAGGAAAAGCCATACAGAAAGAAGACTTTGTAACTGCATACAGTTCAAAGGAACAGGCTCTTTTACTGGCACGTTAAATTAAGTAAACATCACACAGGTTTTTTTATCCCACTGAGTAGGTGAAAAGTGTTTAGGCTGAGAGATTTTACAGCATTCCCTGAATTTTCTAAGAAAACCTATGAGATCCAGATTTCCTTTCATAAATCCAATCCTCTATACATTCAGAGGTAAGATGTCTCATTAATTCCATAGCCTACAAGTTTGGCTACTGAAGATCACAACAAGCAACATCTCTCTTTAAAACTCTTCTTGCTCTTGCTGCTTTTCTTGCCATTCTTGTCTTTGTTTTCTGACATCTTCTTGGCTCTAATCTCTCTCATTAGATCAAAGAATACCTAGAAAGGAAAAGCCATACAGAAAGAAGACTTTGTAACTGCATACAGTTCAAAGGAACAGGCTCTTTTACTGGCACGTTAAATTAAGTAAACATCACACAGGTTTTTTTATCCGAGTAGGTGAAAAGTGTTTAGGCTAAGAGATCTTACAGCATTCCCTGAATTTTCTAGCAGCCCTGCCCCCAACAAGTTTATTACCAGACTTGTAGAACCCATGTGAAGTTATAGTCATATAGGTCAGGAGGTTGCAGTGGGGAAGGGGGTGCAATTGCCCTCTCTGCCCTTTCATCAGTGCAGCTCTAGCAACTGAAGATGCAGGAAGAAGGATCTCATCCTTTTCTTCTCCATACTGCAACCTCCTAACCCATCTGGCTATTAGTCCAAATAGGACCTGGGACCACAGAAATAAACTTTGATGCAATGGAAAGGACTGCTGTAGGGAGGAAAACATGGGAAAGATCTCCAAACACCAGCAATTTTTACTGACAGATCAATGAATCCTCCCCCCTTGGACTAGTAAATCCCTGGGAGCAAATTCAGAGTCATTATATAAAGTAGTTCAGAATTTAAAGCAATATGCACAGCGCACTGGAACTCAACTCAATCGGGGCTGGCTAACGCATGTGAAAAATTCATGTCAAACAAATTCTGTAATGCAATATTAAGCCATGGTACTCAGATTCAAATTGAAGGACTCTGATCTATGGTAATACAGTTCACTGAATTACAAGAGGTTGGAGCCCATAAAAAAAAAAACCAGCTACATGATATCTGTAGGAGGGTATATTCAGAAACATGGGATTATACATATTATTCATCCCCTTTAAAGTCTGTATCAAAATAGACTACATTTTATTACCTTCCAAGCTACTTCATTTGACAATTAGTTCAGATGTCAGACTCAAGCTGTAGTCAGACCTCGCTTGTGTATCTTGTAATACTAACATACAGGCAGGGAAGAAATCTAGACACCAGAAGCTTAACCCCTTGATTTTATTAAATGAGAGAGTGAGAGGCGAGATTAATAAGACTATACAAAATTATTTTAAGGACAATTTAGACTGTAGTACTCTGAGTTCCATAATTTGGGACGCCATGAAAGCAATTGGCAAGAGGTGCTATCATTCCAAACCAAGCTCACTATAAAAAAGAAAGGAATAAAATGAAACATGAACTACTCTCCCAGATCCAAATATTAAAACAGTGATATAAAAGGTCTGGCAATGCCAGGGTATACAAGCAACTGGTTTTTTTAAAAAACCTATTGTATTTAAAAGCTATATACTCAACTAGAACCAGTAAATCACTTAAATATCTAGCATGGAAAGTAAAGAAAAATCATGCAAGGCAACCTATTAGGTTAATCAAAGATGATTCGAACACAGTTCATACTAAATCAACTTCTATAATATAGCCTTTGTTCAATTCTATCAAAAATTATATTCAACCAGACATTCGGCTGTAGAAGATATTCCTAGTTTTCTATCTAATGACAACTTATTCTGTAGACTTACCGAGGATCACAGATCCCAACTAGATGAACCAGTAACATCACAAGAAGTTCTTGACGCAATTAGGAAATCGAAAAATAACAAAGCCTCGGGTAATGACAGGCTAATGGCAGAATTCTTTAAAGCATTTGCAGACATCGTATCAGGGCCCCTACCGAACACTTGAAATGCGATCGTGGATAAGAGTGATATCCCTTCCACATATAATAGTGATACCTAAGCAGGGGGGAAATCTAACTGACCCGGCCTCCTATTGTCCTATTTCCCTTCTAAATCACGATACAATTTTGTCTTCATGGCTTAATAAATTTATAATGCAATATGTTAATACTGATCAGTCAGGCTTTATGGCGGGACGCAGCCTCACCGATAACAGTTGTAAAACACTGAGTGTCATTAATTACATTTGATTGAAAAAAATTTCCCCCCCCGATATTAACTCCTGACATTGAAAAAGCTTTAGATTCCTTACAGCCCAAATATTTACAAATGCTCTTGCAGAAAATGAATTTTGGTGATCGCTTTCGGAGGACAATCAAGACTACGTGTGCCTCCCCAAAAGGCTAGTGTTCTGACCAAAAGCTACCAATCAATTTACTTCCCTCTTCAAAGGGGAACT